CTTGGCTCATGGTAAGTGCTCAATAATTATGTGTAGGAAGGAAGGAAAAAAAGAAGGAGAAGGGGAGGGAAGGGAAGGGTGGAGAGGGGAGAAAGTCATGTAGTTCATGCATTGTCATTTGGACAGGACTGCACATTACAGAGAGACAAGGACACATTCAATTTTGAGGACTTTCAAAGTCATTCCCTGGTGTTGTTAACAGTTCCAGTACTCGACACTTCTCTATTAAGAAATTCTCCCTATTGCTAATACAAACCCTCTCTGCTTCATGTTAAGCCCACTCACTCGGGCTGCGTCTCAGAGGGGAACGTGAACAGCTGATCTCCACACTCGGTGCAACGATTCTTCATACATTTAGAGAGAGTAAGTCATCACCTCATTGCCTTTTTCTTCTTCCCCTTAACAACCCCAATTCCCACAGCTTTTCTCCATGGATCCTGTTTTCTAATCCCTTAATCCAACGGTGCATATTAGTGCTCAGTTCAAAGTCGGTAAAAATAGCATGTTGTCAAATGGTGGTATCAGGAGATCCTGGACAAACACCCTGACGTGTGGAGCTTCTGTTTCACCCCCTTGGGGTCCCCTCTGCAGAGCCTGGAGAGAACATGGATATCCCCTGGCCTCTGCCCTGAGGCTGGGAGGTGGGACACGGTTTACACAGGTGTGCTCGGGCAGTCACCAGCTACTGTACTTACTGGGCTATTCAGGGATGCCTCACCCCGTGCTGGGCACGGAGGCACCGTGGAGGGGCAGACAGGTGTGGTTCACGAGCAGTCCGTCAGGTTGGTCGTGCCTGAGTGTACGTGCAGGGGAGGTCATGGAGAGCCTGTTTTATTTCGTCAGTCGAAAAGGTTCAAGTGATATCTGCCATGGCAGTGATCAACCTCTATCGTATTACTAATATCTCCAAATTGATTGTTGCAGAATATGATCGCTATAAGCCTTGGTGCCAGGATCGCAGAGCCTCCATGTCCTGGAGTTGGTGCTCTTTAATGGACACCAGGTCACCAGAGACCTAGAGTGTCCCCTACTCTGTCCTATCCAGCCCAGGTTGCAGGTACTGGCAGAGCACTCTGCCTTAGTAAGTTGTTGCTGCTGCCACAGCTCTTGGGAGATCTCCCTTGTCCCAGTTTGGCCACCTTTCCTCCCCCTCCCACTGATCCACCCATTAATTCCTAACTGCCATCATGGGCCCAGAATGGTGCGCTGCGAACTCCCATTCGGAGCCCTTCACATCTGGGTGGATGTCACTGTGGCCTCTCAGTGTCACAAGCCACAGATAGTAACAAGTTCAGGGAGCCCAAGGAATGACCCAGACAAATTAAGAATGTTTTAATCTACACGAGGAAGGGCATTTTCTGGTAGGTGGAGGCAGGGAAGAGGGAGTGGGCTTATAAAGCCCACTGCTTAACTCTTTGGGGAAAAGACAAGCGCAGGTGCAAATCTTATGTATTCTCCTTTAATTCTGACCCAGACAGTCCCTTTAAGGTCTGTTTACATCTTACAGCCTGAAAATGCACCATCATCATTTCTTGAAGTCATTACTCAGAACACACCCCCCACTGCATTTCATTTTTATTATCCCCATTTTAGGAACGATTAAATGGAAGCAGAGAGCAGTAGCAATGAAGCAAATCATGAGAGGCTCCGATAGAGACAGAAGCCTTAAAGCTTATTGGAACAGCATCTCTGTGCCAGACTATTTTTAATGCAAGTTTATGCAGCTGTCCTCCACTTAGAGAGTCTAACAGATGAGCCCACTCCGCGCCTCAATACTTTCTTCACCATTCCTAACCCTTTCCATCTCACCGTGCTATGCCTGCATGTGTGTGTATGTGTGTGCGTGTGCGTGTGTACAGTATTCCTTCTTAAATGTCCTTCTCCACAGTCCTACATGCCAGAGAGATGTTCTTGGCTTCCTGTGAATATAATTCGAGTCCAGAGATCTCTTTGTTCTTCCAGCTGCCTATGCCTTCTAGAGGTTACTTTTGTAGGATCTCATTAAAGGCTCACAAGTGAAGACACTATTTGTCTTTAAAAAAAAAAAAAAGAAAAAGATTATGTGAATATACCAAGTTTGTATATGCTTGCAGTATTTTTAGAAGACTATATAAAAAATTGGCAACAATGATTGCTCTGGGGAGGGTTCCAGAAACTGGGAACAGCATTGCTATGGAGAGGGGAACTCAGGATCCCAGATGAGGAGAGGACTCTCTTTTTCCTGGATACTCCTTTGCACCATGTGCAAATATTACCTTAAAAAAATTACAAAAGAAGGGTAGTAGCTAGCAATTGGCATTTGATGAATACTGACTATGTTTCAGTCGCTCCTAACTGGTGTTTGACTATAAAATCTCACGTCATCTTTACAACAGCCTTGTGTAAAACCCCATTTCACAAAAGGGACACAGAGTCAGGGAATATGGGTCACTCGGGTCACTCACTCAGGTCTGCACAGCTGATCAATGGCGGCAGAGGAACCAAACCCAGTTCTTTCTGATTCCCAGAACCATAGGCTGTGTTGTCTTGACTTCAGTTCTTTCCAAAGGAACCACATGGATAAGACAGTAGCTTTAGGACTACTTTTAAGAACCGGAAAGGACATTGTGAAATCCCATCACATGGTTTGCACCAACAACTTAATGAATCTTCCTGAAGCCGAGGCTCCGTGTTAAAAGCTGTTCAGGCGTGCAGGCCTCTGCTGCGCAGTGAAGACTTCCCTCTGGTCCTCACCGGCACTGGGGCTCTCGTGCCAGAGCGGGGAGGGTACCCATTTTCATGCTCTTGCCAGGAAACCTCTCTGTCTAAATGGGGAATTTTCAGGGTAGAAGTGAAATAGCTGGTCAATAGTCCAACTCTTCCTAAGCACACGGGCTCTTCATTTCTTTAACGATTATCTTCTGAGTGGTCCCTCTGAGCCAGGCACTCTCTGAAGGGTTAGAATTACAGAGGTGAGCAAGGTCCCTGCTCCCAGGAAGCACCCATGCTGGTGTGAAGAAACAGGCAATAAACAAACACGCACACAAGTAAGGCAGACACCAGATAATACGTGTATGGGAGAAAATGAAAATACACTGTTAGCTGGAGTGGCTGGGTGCCGATCTCAGTGTGGGTCATCAAAGAGGGCCTTTCCGGGGAGATGATATATACCTAAATGACAAGAATGATAACTATGCCCTGGGAGCTACTGCCCTGCAAAACAAACTAAGCTTCCTCTGTACGCTTCAGCCCCCACCCCAATTTCTACTCCAAGCTTCTATTTATTTATAACATGTATTTGCTATCCCAGATGTTAGCATTAGAAAGGACCCTAGAAGTCTTAGTCTCATGCCATCATCAAAGAAAGGTGCAGAAGAGTGAAAATAGCCAGTCCCATGGCTAGACAGTGGCCTGACTGGTAGCTGAAAGTCCAGTCCTTAACCCAGGTTTTTCCCACAAATCCAGATTCGTTCCCTACTTATATTTCCAATGTCCAAGTCCTCTTGGCAGAGTCTTCACCCTAGTGCTAGCCTCTCCAGAGTCTACAAACACTAAGTCCTCCCTGGACCACAGGGGACCCACTGGGGCAGCATTAATCACCTGGAGAATGTACCTGGGAGCCAAGGTGACAGTGGAAGGGAAGGCACGCCTCTCAATGGGGCAATGTCACCACATCCCAGCCATGCGCTAGAGCCGTACCTGCCTCCTGCCACTCCCTGCCCACAGGTAAGCCAGAAGAAGCCCTTCCAAGTCGGGAGTCAGGGGTTTGCATGGCTCTATGAACCCAACAACCACTAAACATCTGTCTTGCAATGTTCCCTGGTTTAACCAAGTCGATACGAGAATGTTCTACTCTATGATTTCAACCCCTCCCAAAATGCTTTACAAAAAGATTAACCACAAAATTCCTTTAAACAGCAAGTTCCTTTGGTACATTTGAAGTATGATCTATAAAAATTCAATCTACATAAAGATTTTATCTCCCCTCCCCCAAATAACAGCTATTACATAAAAAGCAATAGCATACACTTGGGCTCTTAATGATAGGTTTTGGACTCTTTTATTACATAATGATTCTCGTTCATGCCACAAATACTTACAGAACTGCTCTATGCAATACACTCTTCCAGGTTGGAAAAGGACACAAGGAGATAAAGACACAGCCTCTGTCCTTTGGAAGCATGCATACACACGACTCTAACACAAGGCAGAAGTGACGAGGGCTGCCATGGACATATGGACAAAAGCTATAGGAAACAAGAGTGTGAGAGATTATATTTCAAAGATCAGGGAAGGAGGCAGCAACATTTTAATTGGGTTCCAAAGGATGGTTATGATTTGTACAAGTGGACAGTTCATTCCAGGAAAATAAACATCGTGACATGCACAAAGGCAGGACATACAAGGACACATCCTTGAAACAGAAAGGAGCCCAGAGCAGCTTAAGGGTGAGACAGGAAACCATGAGGAAGAGAAGACAAGTTTAGAAGGTAGGTGAGAGCCTTCAACGCAAGAACAGATAACGTCTAGCCCCGTCCATAAACCACAGAAGACTTGAGTGGGTTTGGGGCACGGAAAGAACATTACAATGATAGCTGTGCATTAGGAAGCTCATTCCAGCTGCCTTATTTACGTAGGAATAATCTCAACGGATGAAGGCAGGCATCAGAGACGAGGAAGCCCATTTAAAAAATCACCACATGGTTCCTGAATCATATACAAAGTCAAGAGCTAGAGTAAAAGTAGAATTGATGAGGGGAGAGATCCAAACCCCAGGAGGGAGTGCCAAGCTCCAGAAAGGGGCGGGGGTCATAGGCCTTAGATTCTGGCCGAAGGAAGAGAAGTCGGCATGAGGGCAAGTGGCGTCCCTTTAAGAAAGGACAGCGGTGAGACACCTCCTGCTTGGGACAGTAATCATGAGTCTACTGCATAAAAGCTGCCCCAGCTTGATGTTTCCGAGCCGCCCGTGAAGCCTCAGTTATTAATAACTCCTCTTCTGGAGACAGAAAGAAGTACCTGTTCTACATCAGGGGCCCAGAACACATCTCAAATGACGATGTCTCCGCTGTCACCGTGAAAGCAGACTGATTAGGGTGGAGAGCAGGAGCACAGATGAGACTCAGTGGAGGGAGGGCCACCTGAATCAAGAACATCAGCCATAATTTAACCCTTTGCACTCGCTTGCTTTTTTCTCGATTCCTTTATTCTACTCGGGATTTAATTTTTTATTTTTTTTTTTTTAATTTTTTAAACACCCCAGATTTTACAAAGCGCGGCAGTAGAGTAAAAAACTGGAGTTTCTTTTCATACAAACTTACTTATTTGGATTTTTTAATATTTCAAATTATTGATACTTTCAAAGAGTCATTTTAATCTCTATAATTTTTCATGGTGTGATATTTTTGGAAACATTCGCCCACATGAAGACCTGGTTTACATTCACATGTTTCGCAAATATATAAATCGTCTCTCTTCTTCCTCCTTTGATTTTTCTGTTAGAACAAACAACACAATCTTTGTGTTTTTTTTAGGGTGAGGTGTGATTATAGGGAGCTTTCCATCTAAACATTGCTCTAAGTTAGCGGATAATAATTTACCCCTGGAAGTTAGTGTACCACCTCTGCATTTACATTTTACTCGTCCTTTCATGCTAATGAAAACAAGAAAGGATACTGGAAAAATAGACAAAAATCTCCCTTCCCCCCGCGGTGAAACTACGTGTCCAGTGTGGCTTGACACATGAGCTGCTACCGATGCTACCAATGCTAACCTTGTCGAGTCACACTCGGCATCGGAGTGCAAAGGGTTAAGGTGCATAGTTGTGCCCTGATAAGAGGAAACACACGACAGATCGAGGTCTTCCAATTCCAAGAATTAGGTCCTAGGTTGCACGCCCTGAGCCACACGCGCCCAATTTCCCAGGCGACATTCACCTAACTAGTTGTCCGGGGCTCTCTGGGACAAGACTGTGAATTTCTGGCCTGGGGTGTCTTTTCCTGGCTACTCCCCTCCAGAAACATACAGCTTGGTTTCCCCCTTCTAGTCAGAACCAGGCTGACATCTTGAAGCCTGTTCCCAGCCAGTGGGCCCACGGAGTCTGTGGAGCTTGTCTTAAATCGGTTTCCCAACATGTTTTCGTAGAACAGAAATATTCTCATGAGCAGAGGGGTCTTGAGGTAAAGTCTGTTGCGGAAATGCCACACTAAGTAAAATTAAAGATGTTTTTGGCTATAAGACATCTCTGAACTTTCAAATGTTAAAATGTCCCGAGACTCCCCTAGAGTGACAAACAGTGTGGAGCATCTTCCAACAGTGTCCAACTCCAGAACCACTTCCCAGCAAAGTGTCTCAAGGGACAAATGCCCTGTAGAACATACTTACAGAAACACTGGTAATGACATTACTCTCAGGAACACTTGCATTTAACTAGGAATCTGGAACAATAACGAAAGCTAATACTTACTGAGTGCTTACTACATGCTAGGCACTCTTCTAAATACAAATATTAATATATTTTTAATCCTCATACCTGTGGGTGCTATTATTATTCCCATTTTACAGATGAAAAAACTGAGGCAGAGAGGAGTTAAGAGATTTTTCCAAGGTCCTAAATAGACAAGTTAGTGAGTAATAGGGCTGGGAATTCAACCTAGGCAGTCGGGCACCCACAGAAATTAACTTGTAGTGGTGGAATTGCAAACACTGTGATCAGCTGGCAGTGGGAGGGATTATGAGCAAAACCTTGCATGGCAGCCCTTCAACCACAGGAAATCTAAACCTGACCGCTCATAAATTCATCTTTATAAGGCTCCCCAGATACTGTGTAGGACACGACTTCTGAATTGTACCACTGATTTGGTTTCTTTATCAAATTATGTTATAATGTATACACATACTCTTCTCTGAAAACAAAGTCATAATTCATATAGTAATGCAGTTAGCAATAATAAATAATCTGTACATTATCAATGCAAAAAACAATAATCAATAATAAATGGCAATACATAATGAAAACCTCTTGATTAACCAAATCAAGAAAATGAAGATACAAGTTTGAGAAATGGCTTCTGTTGAGTTCTCAAAGTATTGATCTCTTGCTCCTCGGGACTAGGGACAAAAACCAAGGAACTGTTTTCCTTTAAAATGTTGCAAAACTGTACATCCCTACCCTTCTACTTTGCTTGAAAATTGCCAAAGGCATGTCTTACCCGCTCCCATTTCCTCTCCTTATTCAGAAGGATGATCACCAGTTTCGGGTGCATCTGGTAGCCATCTTCACTGAAGGACAGATTTCTCCCCTCAAAAGTGACATTGATGAGATACCTGTAAAGATAAAATAAAAGGAAGATTAAAAACATGGAGAAAGTACACAGAGAGCAGGATAGCTAGGTAGATAGACAGAAAGATGGCGGGAGTCTCTAGATACACAGATACCACCATCAAACTTGGGACTCCTTGAATGCCCATTTGATTATGCAATAGAGTCATCCAAGTTTTCACATAATAGGAATCATATGAAAAAATAATATAATAATTTAAAATGAGGACACTTGGTTTGAGTTCAGTCTATAGCCATGACTTTGGGCAAATTACTTAGCCTGTTGAACCTCAGTGTTGTTCCCTATTTGCAAATAGTGGAGTAGTAAGGAGACCTGCCTCGTTAGGTTTGTAAGGCTTACATGAGATAACTTAGGTTAAGCACTTACCATGGAGCCTGGTGCACACTAAACCCTCATGTGTTAATAATTATTGTTCAGAAAAAGAGATGGATTAAAGGGTGGAGGTGGTAGAGACAAGAAAAGAAAGTGGGAATGTGCCAAGATGGCTTTCTGCTAAGAATGGTGGCAGGTAGGAACTTAGGGTCTCTCCCCATCTCAGAGATACGCACATACTCCTTAACTCTTGCTGAGGTCTTGCCCAGCCCATACTTCTAAGAGTTGTGTGATGAGTCCAGTAGGTAGGAATCTTGTACCACAGGATGCATCTGGGAACCAGAGCTACTGCAGTGTGTATAGGGAACAGAAAATACCAGGGAGTGGAAAAAGGAGGGAGAGACATTGCACGCAGAGTGCTCTGGGTACCTGTGCATAAGTTAGCAGAAACTCTGGAGGTAACCAGAGTCAAACCAATGAATCTGCCTTCCTCCTGGACACCTGTACTCTAGTCCACCCCATTCCCCTGCTGGCTGCTAGGATCCGATGAGCAGTTCCTTCATTGGGAACTCCCACAGGTATGCTTATTACAACTGCATTAGTGCAAATGTGCTGATGGTAATTAATGTCCCTTTCCCTTAATGGCCCAAGGAATCAATAATGATTAGCTCTGTGTTCACACGACATGCTACTCTGGAGCCTTAGGCCTGATACTGGCTTGTGAGACATGTCCCTGCTAAGAAGCAAAAGGGGTATCTTATAATTACAGTGAAAAAGGTGCTAATGGAAGAAGCAGATGAAAGGTCCCTCTTAACTCTTCTCATTCAATGAAACTGGGATACCTTTCTTTGATTCTTTCAGGTAGCATTAGGGTAAACAAGGGTGCTAGGAGGTAGATCCTTCTAGAAATTATAAAGATGCCTAGGCAGGATGAACCAAACCCTCATGGATCACTTCTCACTGCTAGAACTGCCTGGGATGTTTAAGCCTGTCATTCCTTGGTCTTGTGTAGCTGCAAAAATGCAATCAAGAGCATGGGAGACCTCTAAAGAGTAGAGAGTCCTAGAATATTAGAAATGAGAAAGACCCCCATAATCAAGTAGCCTACCACTGTCTGCAGTTTACGCTTTCCTTCTACAACATCGTAGAATTGTTCTTCTAAGCTCTTCTTGAATTCTTCCACTGATGGGGGACTTACTACAGCACCGTCCACCCCCAAGGCAGCCATCTCAGCGATGGCTGGGCAGTTCTTTCTCACTTAAAGCTGAATCTTCTCCCCTGCAACCCTTTAATCCTTGTTCCCTCTTTTGAGAGTCTAAAATCTTAGTCTACTCCTTCTTCTACATGAGAGCTCTTCAAGTCTTTGAAGAGATTTATCATATATCCCTTATAAAATCAATTGTCATCTTTAAAGAAGGCTTCATCTCATTTAGTCCTAAAATTAAACATGATGGATTAGGAAACAAGCACAGAGAGGTTAAGTTATTTGCCCAGTGTCACACAGCTAACTGGGAGGAGGAGTAACATTGGAAGCAACAATTCCAGTCCCATGTCCTTCCCAGCACACCACCCTAATTCTCACATCAGCATCAGGCTCAACACCCCTAGATCCTTTACATAGTCCTCATGTGCCATGGCTTCAAGTTCCTGCCAGACCACCTTGGGCACTCTCTCTGGACACCTCCAATCAGTGATGTGTAGCACCCCTAACCCATCTCAGGGCTCCCTGCAGCTGCTGCTCCTTTCTCTGCCCTGGCCCTCAGCTCTCAGCACAGAGCTGTTCACCCAAGCCCATCACCAGTGTGAAGACAATATTCAGGTCTCCTGCAGTTTGCAATGACTCCAACACTCCCACCAAAGCCTGTAGAAATCATCCTAGGGGATACAATTACAAAACGATAACACAGAGTATTTTAAACTAACAAACTAGACTTTAAGCACCAACATAATTAACTTGGAGAATGTGTTCTTCCTACAACAACCCTGCATTACTTAGAATAATTTCTGGAGTCTTCAGAGGAAGTTTATGAGACACAAAAAATAATTTGGTATCGTCTCTTTTTTGGAAGGAAGGAAGGAGGGA